CTATGTAACTAATAACACCTGACAAAAATTTGAATTTCAATCGCAATTTGGATTTCCATAACTACGCTTGTACAAACTAGGTTAACCAGTTTTAAATTACGTTTACTTTTATCATTAAACGGAAGGCATCAATTAAATACCTTCGTTTACACAAAAGAATTGGGTACGTTACGTATAACAAGGCGGCCCTGTTTCCCAATTTGATTTCAGTTTTATACAAACATGCCTGCGATGTGTCCTTTCAAGATCATTTCATTTTTTAAAATTATCACATACCGTGTTTCCGTCAGATGTCTCGAAAAATTGGGAGTTTTCTTTATAAATTACAAATTTTGACGTGATAATGTCATCACGACGTTACTGATTTTAACGTTACGTTAAAAGAAATCTGTAAATTGTCTGAACCGGAAACTATTTACTTTAATCTGCCTTAGTTCCAGAAAACAATTTTGAACTTTTATTTCAATTCATCGTACATGTATATTCGATAGCTGGATGGAGTATAATAATTTGTAGGAAAATATAATTTTATTACAAATGATTTTATCAGACAAGTAATGAAGCTTGATTCATCCATACAGACGAGACAAGGTACCTAATTCTTTTAAGATTTGTATCATGTATATATGTGCGCGTATCAAATTTATAAAACAAAAATATGTAACAATTTGCTAGATTTCTTCAACCATTTTTTGCATTGTTTATGAAGTTACATTTAAAATTTTAAAGATGCATGAATCAATTAAAAAGAAAATTGGAACGTCCCATACCAAATTGTCAAAATTGGACTTTGGCAATGAACTTTGGCAATGAAAAAGCCATTACACCCCCCCCCCCTTTTTTCCATCCAAACAAATGGAAGCGCTATTAAAATCGTATCTTCTATTGATAAATGTATAATTACTCACTATTTCTGAGTTATGAGGTGTCTGTTAAACTGCGTTAATTTTTCTTTGATGTTAGGATTTCTTTTATAGATCGTTATTTATTCATTCCAGTAGATCCGCTTTACTGCATGGTTCATGTCAAATGCACTAACCAGGAATAATCCCCAATATACTTACACAAAGTCACTTTCAATTTTAAACCACAAGGGGAGACCGGTTATAAGATGTTACCTGCGAAGTCCTGATTGATGGGGCGATTCCAAGTTTTTTCCTTGTTAAGTGTCCACCCTAAATTCGAAAACCTATCTCCCTATCCGAGAAAACACAAATCCAAAATGGGAAAAACACAACATTTTCGGAATAGTTCTAGAATTTCTCATTATCATTTGGGACCTCTCCTCGCAATAAAACTAAGTTTTAAACTACTAGTTTATTGAAATAAAAGATTAATACACCACTTAAATAAGACACTTGCATTGATATCGATCAGTAATAGATCGATCAACGGCCACAGTCGAGTGATTTTTTTTTTTATTGGTCCTCATTAAAGTACATGTACAACTTGATTCCATAACTATAGTTTACTATAGTTATCTATAGTTTACTATAGTTAACTATAGTATCAAAGTTTTTCACCATAGTAAATCAAAGTATTTTTACTATGGATTTCAGATCGTTAGATTTTTTGTTCTTTAATTCATACATGCACATTTTTTTATATTAAATTGAAATATTATTTGTATTCACAGATTATTTCCAAATTTTACATTACTGTTTTCGAATTTTAGAGATTTTAAGCTTTGAAATCTCAAGAAAAGTTCCAGAGTAAAGATTCATAGTAAATCAAAGTATCAAAGTTTTCACTATAGATAACTATAGTAAACTATAGTTAACTATAGTAAACTATAGTTAACTATAGTAAACTATAGTTACCTATAGTAAATTTTTGTTAGGGTTATCAGTAACACCCCCCTACCCCCCCCCCCCCCTCACACACACACTTCTATTTAAATGGAGACAAAATACAAATAATCGAAATGTAGAATAACAGAACACACATAAAAGAATCAAAATTAACTTTCACGTGCCTTTTAATATGCTACATAGAGATTTTGTTTCTAGTTCAGTTATCAAATTATACGAAATCTGATATTATTTTGTAACTTTTCAGTTGTGGGAACAATAAGTAAAACACGTCACAGTGTTTCTTATAGAGTTATCCTTGCCATTATATCGCTTGATTATGTTTCTTTTTCATGTTAGTGTCTGATAAAAAAAAATCTTTAAAAATATACCTAACAAACTGCTGACATGTATTACATGACTATACATCTACTAAGACAAAAACTGCTAAAATAGATAATGATTTTGCTTTGGAACTCCTCCTGATGTTTACATGTTACACAACCGTAGGTAAGATATTTGATATATTTCAGTAACAATGATAATTTTATCACTTCCTTCGGATACACTAACTCTCTGGGGCATTTCCTTCACAAATCTTCACATTTGTCCTTGTATTAACGATAAAATACTTAATTTTTTCTTTTCCGGAACAGACGTTGAAATCTTTAAAATTTAGAGATAATGTGTACCATTTTCACAAAGGTGATATTGGGCAGGACCCCCCCCCCCTCCTTTTCCAGCCCCGATGAATATCCATTGGAATACTGAACATATTTCCTATGACATACTTAATGTATTATTTCATGGATAATCTGGATAAAATCATTTTAGAAATGCTCGCTTACTTCAAGATTATCAATATATACTAGTAGTGTAGTTAATATGTGCATTCGTTTTTTGTAGAGGTAAATATCTATAGAGTAATCTTTTTTTTTTTTTCATTTTTCATTTCAAGACTTGGAATGTCTTAAAAATGTAAAAATAATTTCTGAAAAAAAAAAAAAAATAATCGAGTTAAATCATCGATTATGTAGCGGAAAGGGGGGGGGGGTGTCTTGTCCACAAGTAATGAATGATCGTGTTTGTATTTCTTACAGAACTGGGAACAGATAATCTTTATTTATAGACAATAAAAAAAGGTTGATTGTATAATGTTTCACTTATATTTTGGTAGAAAATGCCGAAAACGTACACCACTGTAAAGGTTTATAAGCCTTATAAACTTAGTTTGTCAACATAATTAATTTTTCCTTATCTATAATTCCTTGTAAATTATAACAAAAAACCCGATTTTACTTGAAAACACTGATGTCAATATTCCGATCAGCATGATAAATGTATAATATAATTAATAAGTGTAAATGAGAACTTTTCCATTTCCAACTGCAGACCTTCAATAAGTAAATGGAGATCGGCAGTGGCATATTTAGAAATGTTTAGTCATATATAAAACACTTTCTGATTATTCTATAAAACACTAAGAATCCTTTCTAGAATCTGCAACAATACAGTGACAAGGATAACAAGTTTTGAAAAAAAATGTTCAAATAGTGACTTCTACTAGAATACGCCAACCTTCCCTCCTAACCCCCCCCCCTTCCCCCCTTTACCTGCCCCGATCACTAGCTATATGTATTGTCTTTTGATATTTATGAATCCCATACTTAAGAAAGCTGATGATTTTCAATAAAAAGGTTAAAAAAACCTTTTCTTGAACAGTCAAATAAAGTCAATGTCCACTATGAAGGAGACGCGCATTTTAATTGGAGGTACATGTATGTAATTAAATGTAAATTAATCACCGAACCAACCCAACTTATGTCGTTACTACTCTTTTATGCTGTAAATATTGATTGAATATTTATCATAGTCGCGAAGACGGAAAAGTACATATTTTCAACATGATTGCTCTTTGTGACGTCATGTTTTCAATGCATTGCGTCATTAATTACATGTAATGTCCCATAATAAATTTCACTGAGAAAGGTTTATAAAGTTTTCATTTGCATAAATTGTATTAAATTATTTTTCAAATGCAGAATTGAATTTAAAAGACAATAAAAAGAATAATAAAACCTTCCGATACAGGATTAAACAACTTATTTTTTTTTTTTTTTTTTTTTTTTTTGGTATAGATTTATTGTGGAGAGAAGTGACGTCTATCTAAAAATGCAGCATTTTCAACTTCAATTTTTTTTTTGTAAAAACGGATGTGGCCGCACTTTTGTAAGGTCATTTTTTTTTTCTTTTTAATATTAGAAATCGGGTTATATTTATTCTTGCTGTGAAGTTTCGCATACTTACTCGGATGCGGCCATATCGAAATATAGATTCGAAGAGGAGGAAAACGTCCAAAATAAGGGAATTCCGGAATATGAGATCGGTTTTAAACGTTATATAAATGAAAGGACGCTTGAGTTGAGAAAAAATTGTTACCCATTTCTCACACAGGGAAACCTCAACAGTAACTTGATACATTAGATAAAATGTAAACCTGCGTTTAATTTTTGCCGATTTTACAGGGCCGATTATTGGGCTTACCGTACCCAGTTCTTTAAGAGCAAAAACAAAATCTTTACTGGATTGTAGTTATTCACATACATTTACAAAATGCAGGACAAATGGCCTAGGTTTCAAATAGTCAATATTATGGGTATCAAGTAAAAGAGCCATAGCGAACTTGATAGGCAGTGATATGTCAGAATATTTCAATCAATTTTGAAGAAACTGCATCTTTAAGGAAACAGCTGGTAGATTATCTAAGTGTAATACTTTATTCTCAAGTGTAAATATAAGAAATAAACAACAATGTTAAAAAAATAACAGGGAAATATAACAGTGAAATATACTTAGCTGGTACTTGATAAAATTTATCTTCATCGGTTTGGATTCAAAGGACTCTATCTGAAGGCAATAAGGTTCCTAATTAACTTTTTAAAAGTTACTTTGTCTTTCTTTTCATAAACCGATCTTTTATTACTGTATTAAAAAATAAGTTATCTTTAAAGCTTACATGTACTTTTATACTCTACTGCACATTTGTTATTCGGCATGTGTTTATCAAATAGATGACCGATGTAGCCCTCAATGTAATGGAAGATCCTGTGACTTACATGGTAACTGTATTCTTGGCTGTAAACCAGGATTCTGGGGTGACAAGTGTTTGAATACTTGTAATCTTGAAAACTGCTTTGATACTGTTTGCAGAATATATGATGGACATTGCAATTCTTGTAAAAACGGGTTTTATGGAGCCAAATGTGAAGCTTCTTGCCCATCGAACTGTTTCGAACGTACTTGTTTTCAAGATACGGGACACTGTGCCAAGAGATGCGAAAATGGTTATTATGGAGATTATTGTAACAATCAATGTGGAAATTGCAACCCAAGGATTTGTCAGAGATTTACCGGTTATTGCGAAGCTTGCGAAACCGGATATTTTGGTAGTAAATGCGATAAAAAATGTAGTAGAAGTTGTGCAATGCTTCACTGCAGAAAAATTAACGGGTACTGTGATGAATGTAATCAAGGATTTTATGGTTTTCAGTGTAATAGCAGGTGTAATGACCATTGTATTTCACAGAGGTGCAATCGTGATACAGGAGAATGTGATGGTGGTTGCAAAAGCAGATATTATGGTCAATTCTGCAATATGAAAATTGTATACAGGGCAAATGCAGTAATGACGGGGCTTGTTTGGGTGAATGTAAAGCAAACTGGACCGGGATTAAATGTGATGGTATGTGTAATTCTTTCATTTGAAATTACAATCTCTATTTTTTTCCCAAAAATATATTTTACAATTGTAATTTTCATGAGTCAAAGACAAGATCATAAATAAAATACACAAAACTTGAGAATTGTCACATGCTGTACTTTAAAAATCTTGAAATCTCATTATAATCTAAAGTTCCTTGCGAAAGCATCGTCAACATAATCTCATTTACACAATCTGTTAAAATCTGAATTCCCTCGTTTAGTATTTTAAAACTAGCAATATTTGTATAATAATCAATGCATGCACATTATCATTCTGTATATTCACTGCCCTTATTCATGTATTAATTTTGCATTCCATATTGCTTATTGGGCCCCTACCGGAATCTTGAAGAGGGCTATAGGTTTCCTCCCTATCTGTGACTCTGTGTGTTTATCCGTCTGTCCCTCCGCCTGTCTGTCAGTCTTTCCTACTTGGTTTTCCTCACTTTTTTCCTAAATGCTTGCGAAAATGAGCTGATTTTTTGGTATGTGATTATATAAATAGTGCACGTTTTTTGAGGGTAACAGTTGAAATTGACACCCCAAGGAAAACCATTGTCAACCGACGCGTCAGCGGAGGTTGACAATGGTTTTCCGAGGGGTGTCAATTTCAACTGTTACCCTCAAAAACGTGCACTATTTATTTTATTATACTGAATGTCTTATTGATTTCGGATGTCATTAAAAAATTCGGAGATCGTCGTTAACTTCACGCTTAGAAAGCTTTCAAACTCCCCACTTCTATTTTTCTCAATAGGAAAGCTTCGTAAAAGATTTACCAACCTCTTTATTATTTGTTTGCTACTCAAAAAGTCCTTTATCACCTAAAGTTTGCACTCGCAAGGATGTTTCGTCTGTCGTTTGTCTTTTTCAAGTAAGCCACATCGGACGCAAGCTTTTATTGACGTCGTTTACTCGGTTTCTTTCAAACGCACAACCGACGTTTTGAGAATTCTACGGTGAACCGTACGCGCATGATTTGAACGCATGTGATATTTTCGTAATGTTACCCGTTGTCAAGTGTGTTGCTAACGCTGAGGGTAATATTACAGATTGTTAAATGTGTCTAAACCAATCAGATTTTAGTATTTAACATGAAAGTATAATAAAGTAACTTATTGACTTACAGATCAAATGTGCATTTCCTTCTGTTTCAATGATGTTTGACGGAATTATGGCGTTATTAAATTTTAAGGGTTATCCGCACATTCCTTTTAAACGTTTGCGAATATTGAGCCAAGTTTGGTATGCCAGTCTACATTGACGCTTTTGTCCCGCTTCAATGATTTCTGTTAGAATTCTGGCATTTTCATTTTTTTTCAATGGGATTCAGATTATACTTTCCAGTGCAATACTCTCAGAATGTTTGTTGATACTTATAACTGATAAATAATTAATTCATTAATTGTTTGAGAAATTGATTATGTTTCTTTTTAATTTTATTTTTTATCTACATAAGAGAATAGGATAGTTTATACATTAAATGTAATCTCATAGCCTGACAATTCAAAATTGCATTAAAGTATCACATTTTAGTAACTTTATATATTATATATATTTCTGTTTTAATCCGGTAAGCTTTAACAACTTATTCTTAAATCCAATATTTCCAATATTATTACAAATAATAATGGGCTTAAACTTTTATTGAAACAGAAAAGTGACTTTAACCAACTGATATTAACTGGAAATACAAAAAAGTACTTTAAGTTCAATATCACAAACATCTTTTCTTTTCCCTCAAAATACACGAGTCAAACTTGCATGTGCAAACCTATTGATATAAAATAAAACAATGGATTATATGTACAAATGACGGAGATAAAGAAACTGTATTTGTTTTAATATAATTTTGATGTGACATGATTGTATTTTGGTAATTGTTGTAATTTTGTTTGATGTTTACAAACTATTTATCTCGGGATCAATTGCCTATTTTTAATCGATGACACCATTGTCTTAATATACAGCCAATCAGCGTGGCTTCTCCCAATCAGGTGACCATTGTTTATTTATTTACCAGAGGAGAAAGCCACGCTAAATTGCAAGGGAAAATTTTGTCGAAAAAACCCTCCATCCATCCCCTTTCTTCCACCGTCTTTTTTTTTTTTATTATTATTGTTATTCATGTATTAGAGATCATACTTTGCGTGTTCATTTTGTTTTATCCCACCCTTTTTTGATGGCACGCATATCAGTGCCTGCTTTATGGTATGTTTATTTTAAAGGGGGTCAGTTTGCATAATATGATGCCAAAGATTTTTGTGTTCTTAGAAGTTTTTCTAGTCTCTCTGACCCCCTTACTATGTGTATTTTTGTTTTGCGTCATTTACTTAAATAAATGACATTTTTTCACTTTCAATACTGTTGTTATTTTCTTCTATCCATCAAAAAACTAGCTCAGTTGACTTGGCTTCAGACTTGCAACAATAACAAAGGAACATAAATATACTTTCTTTTTTTAGTGTAACCTGTTACTTGTAAACCTCTCTAGCTAGAGAATAATCAAATATTATTTTACGGTATTAATTTTATAATACAATCAAGAAATGCATACCAAGAATGCATCAGATATTGCATTTGTGTACTTGGATATACAGGTACTCCCCAATATCTCGTATTCTTGAATAATTTTTTTCAGTCCCATTTACTTCTAGAGGAGAGCAAAGTTTGAATATACAATGTAATTCTATTCGATGCCAAGATTTTGGTATTGTATTCATTGTAACAACACTTCTGCCTTGCTCTCCTACTAATTCTTCATCTGATTACAAAAACATGCTTGCTTTAGAGATAAAAACACGATGCATGACCTCTCCCTATGTGGTAATTATGATAAATACACTGTCGAAGGATTGTTTAAATATTTTCTTTTGAAGTATGCGATTCCAGACATTATGGAAATGGATGTTCTAAGGAATGTAATATTAATTGTATAAGACAGCAGTGTAACAGCATACGCGGATACTGTATACAGGGGTGTAAGGAGTCGTATTATGGAGATACGTGTGATAAAAACTGTAGCACCTGCCCATCTAAATGCGATAGGAATACTGGAAAATGTGAAGGTTCATGTCAGCATGGGAAATTTGGAGAAATATGTGACAAGACCTGTTCCCCAGCATGTGCACAAAAATGTGACAAATACTCCGGTATCTGTGATAATGGCTGTAATGGTAACACATTAGGAGCTATGTGTAACTATTCCTGCAGCCATGGTTGCATCGCCAAGTGTGGTCAATACGATGGCAATTGCACTTGTAAAGAAGGATGGCAAGGAAACACATGCGACGGTAAAGCCAATAAATGTCGATGTTCATTTTAGTAAGTAGGTTCAAGACATTAATCATAATGGAGGTTTATTCTGTGTGTATCTTAATTAAAGTATAGAAATTGACCAATTTTTAATTTTGATTTTCATGAAAATTCTAAAGCAAAACATCCATCTCATGGGGAACATTTAAACAAAATCTACTTTTTCCTACAGCATATGATTTTCTGTTCCCTGAATAACACTTGATGAGAAATTTTCTCATTTTTTATTTCATCTTGTGTAAATGGACATTCCTTTTGCAGAAAACTTTAGCATCTGTTACTCAATTCCTGATCCAATAAAAATTTTATTTTAAAGTGGTCACCTTCAAAATAAATATTTTTTTTTCTTTATTTGAACAGAATGCAAAGAAGATTACTATGGATCAATGTGTGAAGAGAAATGTAGTGCGCGTTGTCTAAATGGGACCTGTTTCTCAAAAAATGGGACTTGTATAGGAGGTTGTAAAGGCGATTTTCTTGGCGATAAATGTACTTTACGTAAGAATTTTTTGTAATTTTTAATTTTATTCTTTGCTTTTTTCCCTTTTACAACTAGATATTACATAAATATACCATATATAGTAAACAGAGTTTAACCAGTAGAATTCCAATATGCATATCTCTTACTGCAAACAAACATGGATCTTTTTGGCTTTTTGATCTGTGTATAAACATGAGTATTTTAAAACTAGGTTTAATTTAAGTAAAGAAACAAACATATAGAAATGTAAATTTACATTTAAAAATATGATATGTATCAAGGAGCTACTATACATACAGCAGTGAAGGTAAAACTGTCATTTAAAAGGTTGGTTTTAAATATGCAGCAAATTTCAAGATAGTATAAGTCAATCAATCATTTTCCAACAGAATTTTTGGACTAAAGTCTCTTTTATACACAAGAAATGAATATCTTCTGAGAAATGTATAAACTATTATAAGAGGAAGTCTATTTTAATTTCCTATTTAATAAAACGAAGACAATTTCCCCAGATATTAACAGGAACAGAGTTGCTTCATTACCAACTTTGGCTGTGGGTACTGGCTTAGGAATCGGATTTGCCGTTCTTATAACTTTAGTTATCGTTATTATCCTGATGCTTTATTTCTTTAGAAGGTACGTTACATATTCTAGAAACTGCAATTGTGGAAAATATGTGATTTGAACTTCCTAGCTTAAAAAACTTTCACTAGCATATTCTGATTTGACAACACTCATTTTGTTTCCTTTTTTTTTAAAAGAAGAAAATGTTCCAATGCCTCGACATCTACAGTGTTATTCAGAACAAATGCTCCTCGTACAGGTAAATTTTTATTTGTTTGTAAGCAGGCACTGACATTTTAATTTTCTAATAGTAAAACATAATTATTCTTTGTTTTCTCACAATTTTCGATATAATAATTTATGTTCTTCAAAATAAAAAAAAGGTTAAATATGAAATTTATTAGACAAAAGAGCAAATTCAAATGAAAATGAATGTTTCGTTTAGAACATTCGTCTTGATTTACACTGAAGATATACATGTAAAAATGCATACTCAAAGGCCACAGGATGGAGACTGATTAAAGCAAGATTTTTCCTATTCTCTTGATTTTATTTTTTTAACCTTAATTATTAAGCATTGCCTTTATTTTGATCAAAATATTTTCAAACACAGAATGTATTGTCAATATATGAGATAAATAAATTTAAAAATCAAACGTGTGTTTTAGAATACGAAACATTTTCTACTTCTAAACGAAAGAAAAGAAAATAATCTATTGGTCTATCAAAAAATTATTTTGAAGGGTTCTTTATTTTATCCAACATCTGTCGTAATACGGGACCTCGATTTTTAGGGTCTCTTCCGAAAGACCCTTGACTTTCACTGCTAGCGTCGAGCGCTTGGCAAAGGAACAGTCACTACCTATGTTTACGTCTTGAGTTTGTCGCGGAGCGGTGAACGAGAATAGAATTCCTGGCTCCCGATCACAAAGCGAACACCTTGCCTCTGGGCTACCATTACCGATCCAATACCGAAATAAAGTACAAATCCGTATCCTTAATGTATTTTTTTTTTATTTTCTTTTAATTGAAGATTAAGAATGCATTTCAAAGATTTCACAAAAATTTCTTTCTTACGAAAATATGGCCAAAAGTCCATGAAATCTCGTACTATTGATGAAAATATGAAGACAGTGACAAACAAGGCTCAATGCCTACTTTATTATATAACTTTTATTTAAATTTCTAATTAAAATCAGCGAAACGGTTAAAATCCGGTATCCTGAATTACATGTGTATATTCACATTTATTTATTTGTGTTAGAATTGATCGATGTACCATTTAGGATATTTTTTTCCCTTAGAGTAAATATATATATATATATATATATATATATATATATATATATATATATATATATATATATATATATATATATATATATATATATATATTATAACAGTAACTTGATCCGAAGAGCCGTATCACGTCAAGTTGACAGGCGTGGATCATCAGATCAAACGAGACGCGAAGCCTCTTCGGATCAAGTTACTGTTATAATGATAAATTTATTATATACCCCTTTACAACTAGCAAAATATAATAAAAGGAAACTTTTTGGATCAATTACAGAACTTAAGTCCATTAAACAAACCATTTTGTCAAGGAAATTTTGATGCGTGAGAATAAAAACGTCATTTATCTGTGTACTTCGTCATCAGTTTCAGAGAGGGGTGATATGGATTCAGAAAACCACAGTGTGGTGATCCGGAACGTCGGATCACATCGTGATTGCGTGAATTCAACAGTAAAACTGAGTGACAAACAGTTGGGTATATAATAAATATACATTATTATAACAGTAACTTGATCCGAAGAGTCGTATCACGTCGAGTTGACAGGCGCGGATCATCAGATCAAACGAGACGCGAAGCGTCGAGTTTGATCTGATGATCCGCTCCTGTCAACGAGACGTGATACGGCTCTTCGGATCAAGTTACTGTTATAATGATAAATTTATTATATACCCCCTTACAACTAGCAAAATATAGTTTTAAAAAAACTTTTGAGATCAATTATATAAGATTTTTCCATTAAACAAAGCATTTTTGTCTAGGAACTCTTTGATGCGCATGAAAAATAACGTCATGTTTCTGTGTACTACGTCATCAATTTCAGAGAGGGGTGATATGGATTCAGAAAACCACAGTGTGGTGATCTGGAAAGTCGGATCACACCGTCACGTGATTGTACGAAATCTACAGTAAAATTGAGTGATACACTCTTGGGTATATAATAAAATTCCATATAAAAAATAAAGTTTCAATATTGAGTTTTTTTTTCTTACAGCCGAGAATATTCTATACTCAAGCAATGTTTTAATTCCGATCGAAGATCCGGAGGAAGAACCACATAGAGAAAATCCAGAAGAAGCTGTTTACTACAATGATCTTTCTATTGCAAAGGATATTGACGTAGGGAATCTTTTACGGCTTATTATGCACATGGGGGCGAATAATAATGATGGTTTTTTAACAGAGTTTAAGGTAATATATTTTTTTTAAGGTTACAAGTACCAAACTTTACTGGAAAGACTTCTGTTTACCTGAAACCTGTGCTGGAATAAAAATTTTTGTTGAAAATTTATCACGTTTAATGAAAATATAGAATCTTTTATGAACATTTAAACTGATAACATAATTTAGATTGTTTTGAAGATTGATTCATTAAATTAAATTTGTAAGGATTGCGCACAAGCAAATAATATAGACTGTATTAACAAAGTAGGATTATAAAGATTTCAATCAAGTCGTTTTTTTTTATTTCGTGTCCCATATTAACTTAAAATGGTATTCAAATTTAATTGTAATCACTGAATGATCGGTTAAAATGTTCAAAGTAAATCATTTTTTTAAATGCAGAGTGAGATTCTACAGTGATCATTCAACTGTAATTTTTAATACAATTAATACATATTAAAAGCAATATGACCTGCATTTTTGAAAATTTATTTTTCTGTTAAAATGTGCTGTTATGATAACTCTGTATGTAGTTTAAACCTTTATGATCTATTAGACTAAAATGAAGTACTTTTTTTCAGAAGAAATGTTTCTGTACAATGGAATGTATTGTATTATATAAGAAATTAATATTGTACAGGAAGACAATAATGTAATTTTGCTTTAATCAAAGCTTCTAAATAGTTCGTCCATCGCAAATATGAACAGCAGAAGTTTATAAATGTTCTTTATTTTCTGTCATTGAAATTCTTAATAAAAAATTTGCCACAAAATTTTCCGACATCAAAGTTGCATCTCATATTGCTTTAAATGTCATTTATTTCACTTTTTTTTTCCTGCAAGTATATCCTCTGTATTTTGTTTACCTTTGTTTTATGATATCACTAAAATACTTCTTATGACATTTGAGGTCTTCACTGTCCTAACTATTTTTAATTAGCTATTTTAATCTATTTTAATCTGATATGAATTTGACGTTATGCTATTAAACTAACATTCTTTTTTATTCCTAGCTGATTCCTTATGGGGAAAGATTCGACTGCAAAACCGGGCGAATGGAGGAAAATATGTATAAAAATAGATTTTATTCCACGTTTCCATGTATGACTTTACTAATTTGTTTTACTCTTTTGCTTACTCTTTTAATCTCTTTCAACTTCATATGTCAATTGAAATTCATTTTGCAGACTTCAGACAAATAAATGAGGTATAAATCAACCTAGATACATGTAGTTCTTGAAAGAAAACATTAAAGATCCTATAAATTTTGAATTAGATACAGCCACACGTTTAATTTTTCTGTTTTTATAGCAGAATATGCATGGACTAGTTTGTGTGTTTATCATTTTTGTTAATTTAAAGATTTATTGAGTGTATGTGCATTACTTTCTTTTCAATTTGAAATATACAACAGCCTACTTTAAGTGAATGTGTTCTGAAGTTTTAATTTGTTTTTCCATTTGAAACAAAAAAATAAGCATGACTGCTCAATATTTTCAATTATATCACCCTAACCATATTCTTTCAGATGACCATTCCCGTGTTATTTTAGAAATTAATGAAGAATTCAATTCCGATTACATCAACGCAAACTTTATCGAGGTATTTTTCTCTCTTTCCTCTCTATTTCAGATATAAATTTGTTATGTTTCAAAGCAGTAGGTTCGGTTTTGTCTTTATTCTGTTGTAAAAATTGAATGTTTAACAAAGAGTTTTGAAATTGGCTTAAATATGAGTTGAGTATATCAGTGTTACAATACTTAAAAGAATATGGCAAGATAAAGGACCCTTCTGGAAAATAACATCATTAACTCTATATTTCTGTATTTTTATATTTCTAACTGTAGTTTGTTCTGTCGCCCGCGTGGCGCAGTGGTTAGAGCGTCTGCTCTAGACTCACGAAGTAAGGAGTCGATCCTTACGTCGCGGGTTTGAATCCCACTGTGGGACGTTTAGACCGGTCCTTCGGATGAGACCGTATAAACCGAGGTCCCGCGTCGCAGTAGGTGCTGACACGAAAAAGATTCCTCACTGCTCAATCGCCGTAAGTGCCGAGTATAGGACAAAATTTGCAGCTCTCCACCGGCAAGTGGTGGCGTCTCCATATGAGTGAAAAATTCTCGAGAGGGACGTTAAACAACATACAATCAATCAATGTAGTTTGTTCTTTATTAAGGTTTTTCGTATTCTGTTTATTCCCACTGTCTGTATTTTTTTTCTCACCAATTTTGTGCAAGCAAGTTCTTAAAAGAGCTCGTTTGTTGGTTTCTTTTTCAATTTTTAAAATTCATTTTTCAACGTCAAATACCTCACTTCCGGCGAAACAAAAATAGTCAAAATGGGAGATTTAGGTTTTGAATCGAGTATCAAATGTCAAACAGAATGTCCGACCTCATTTTTAATCGCATATAGTCACTTATGTTCACTTCCCGTAAAACCAGAAGAAATCATAAATTGCTTTTTTATGCTATCACCACATAACTGAAAGATTAAAAAACACAGAAGAGTTCTCACCTTTTTTTCGCCGATTGATGTCATTTCCAGTCAAACCAGAAGTAATCAAAAACTGCTTAATTTAAAATGCATAGGCGTAGATTTAAATGATCATAATTTATAGGACCAACATCATATTTTGTAGAAAACTTTCGTAACTCGAATTTATTGCACTTAGTGTTACTGAATACATACACGTTCCTTTGCAACGGGCTTTGTTCTAGTTTTTATTTTTGTAGAACATCGATGGAGAACGTGAATATATTGCTAGTCAGGGTAAGACACTTAAATAAACAGGATGTTTATTAATTTCCACAATTTATGGGAGGCATTGAAGTTGGCTAAACTTTTTATAGATGAAATATTTCTTGCACTTTTATAAGGACCACGACCCAACACCGTAATTGACCACTGGAGAATGATCTGGCAAGAACATGTAGATTATATCGTTATGTTGACGAACCTGAGAGAAGGCCCAAAGGTCTGAAAAAGGAACTAAAACAAATTCGTTATCTTTTATTTATGGAATTACAATAAGCATAATGAACAACGACAGAAGTTATATCCTGTTTATATACGACTTTCACGTTCATATAATAAATTGAAATGAACAAAAATCATCCATCTTTTAAAAAAATATTTTAACAAAAAATGTTTCATATTTGTAATACCGGTATTACTTTCAGTGATATCTTAGCATATTTTAAAATTATACGTTTGTTTTACAATAATGGAGGGTTTTCTTTAAATTTTTAGGTAAAGTGCCATCAGTACTGGCCCGATATAGATGAGGAACTGGACATCAGTCCATTTTCTGTCACCTTGCTTGAAGAAAAAGTGTATGCTTATTATATTGAAAGGAAACTATCATTACGCAAGAGAGGAGTAAGAAGAAATTATATTTTTGTTTGTTTCAAAGTTGTTATATACACTCGATTGCGAAAAGCAACATTTAAAGCATTTCAAATATGAAACATTATTTTTTCCTTAAATTTGAGCTGTAAATTTTAATTCCTAACTTTCAACATAGGTCACTGTGCCCAGAACGGTCGTGCAATTTCAATACACAAGATGGCCGGATTTTGGAACACCAAATCCGGTAAACTTGGTAGTCTTCCACAGGAACTTCCGACATAGAATTAGACCTTCCAAAAATCCAATTCTAGTGCATTGCAGGTACTTGTGCGGGATTTCATATAGTGTATTCTATATTGAAGGCTTAATCGGATATAAATATAAAGTAACAATCTTATATTTTCATTTTTTTAAACTTTTTTTTATTATTCTAATGTTCCTTTTCAATATTGTAAACACACTCTACATAGTATCAATTTGACGTATCAGTTTCCGATTTTTTATAACTCAGTATATCAAAAAAAAAAAAAAATAAATAAAAAAATAAAAAAAAAAAAAAAAAAAAAAAAAACCTGTGCATTAAATTTTTCGTTACGTTAATCAGCTGAAGAGAAAGATTGTGCTGGATTTTGAGTGCGCTTTTTATATACATTTGCAGTAGGTAACGATATACCTTTTAGTATATTTTATCAACAATTCGCAAAATGATATTTTTAATAGTGCAGGAATCGGGAGGACGGGCACATTTATAGCCTTTGACGTTTTGTCCAGGTATGGCAAGGACAAGGGCAAGGTCAATGTTATAAAGTATGTCAAGGCCATGCGTAAAGACAGGATGACAATGATACAAAATGTGGTATGCTTCTTAATTGCGAATTAAAAAAATAGGTAGAGAGCTATATATATATATATATATATATATATATATATATATATATATATATATATATATATATATATATATATATATATATATATATATATTACGTCAAATAAAAGCTTTGCAGTGAATATTCAACTTAATACATAAGAAATTAAGAATATGACTTAATATACACAATAACTTTTCTTTGCAATCTTTGCAACCTGTGTTTTAATTTGATATTATAGGCCCAGTATGTATTCCTGTATCATGCTCTGTACGAGTTCTTCAGAAGGAAGGGAATACTTATCAAAAAAGATGAATTCTTGAGACTGTATGGAGATGAAAACATAGTAAAAAGAAAGAAGCAAATCACGGATGAATTTAACGTACTAAGGAAGAATTCTGAAAACTAATTGTCATTTTGTTATTCTGATATATTATATTGACTGTGCAATCTTCTTAATCAATGATAAAAATGTATTTAAAATTGGTTTTAACATTTAACATTTAAAGAATAAACACAAAATAACTACTAGTACTGGGTTTCATAACAATATGATCGAGCTCAATCGGCATCGTAAACAAATGTAAGTATAAATTAATAAGAACGGATTTTATGTTACAGGAGCTGACAACATTGAGACCTCAATACAATGTGCATGATTTTCAAAGTGGAAAAAGAAATCTGACACTGAATTTGACAGTGTCGGTGTTGCCAGGTATCATATTTTCAATCTACGTTTTTTTTCAGAAGGTTTGGTTAATCCATGTTTTGCTAATGTCGGAAAGGGACGTCAGTTGATGAGATCGGTTGTATTTTGGAGTATCTATCCTGCTTTTATGATTTTTTTTTATTGTAGTTGAGCAATATCTAGTCCATCTTAAGTCAGATGTTCCAGGTCGAGAACCGTACTACAATGCCGTGACAGTCTCTGTATGTTTCAAAACGATTTCTGAGTTTTTTTTTATCCAAAATTAATCGTTTTAATTCTATCTTTTAAATGTATTTTAATTTGACACAGTCATTTACCAAGGCTGAGGAGTTTATTTCTGCGCAATATCCGGTGCCTGGGGCTGCCATTGATCTTGTTCGTCTGATAATTGATCAGAAGTCTCCATTCCTTATTTCACTCACTCCTTTATCTGAGTTGAACGAGGTATTGAATAATCAAGATAAAAATAAGTAACTTTCCACAATATTTTCAAAGATTTTTTTGTTGTACGTGTCGGAGAAGTATAATTAGCACGTTCAAAGAGTATTGGCTGGAATTTTGAATTCTTTATTTTACGTACTTTCTAAGTTTACGTTTTACAGTAAATACATTATTTACATGTATGTAGGGAAAACAGGCAATGGTAAAATTTATTTGTATCAAACTCAACAAATCTGCTGTGAAACAAAGTTTCATGTAAACAGAAATACGTTTACGTTTATATTGTTCAAGATATAACATATGAGTTACTTATGCTATTCATAAACAGCTCAAGAAATGGGTTGAAGGAGAAGAAAAGAATATTAAGCTGAAGCCATACGTTATCACAAAGATTACACAAACAGCAATCTCAAATGAAATAAGAATGACCAGTTTATTTTTTAAAGGGAAAAGGGCAAGTCTGCATCTTTTCTTAATTATTGTTCATTTTCAGTATTTCATTTTTTTAAAAGTAGTGAACGTAAATTAATCGATAATTTAGTACATTTATAAAGATTTTTTTTAAGTATTAAAATGGTTCCCATATTTTAAAAATATATCCTTTTTTTAAGGAATCTCAAAAAGTAGATATTCTTGAATGCATGTCATGGAAATCGGGTGAAATTCTTCCAGGAAAAACCTCCACCTTGACGAATTTGATCAAACAACTTATCTTTCAAAGAAAATCCAAGCCAGAAGGACATATAACTCTAATTTCAATGTATGTATATCAGTATGTTTGTGCTAAGCATATATATGTATATATGAATTACTCCAAAGTCCGATGGTCACGCTTAAGACCGTGGGTCTCTCCAAAGTCCGATAATCTCGCCAATCCCCGATTGTTCGGTGTTGATACGGACACAAAAGTCCGATGGTCACGCCAAACTCTGATGGCACGTTTCCCTATGAGACGGGCTGCGCTTAAGTGCGATGGTTTGACAACCAATGTCCCATGGTGCCGAGAAACAATCAATGTATATGATGTCAATTCTTGACGCCGTTATTCAGCATTCAAAGGCCAACAGTTAAGTATTATTTTTTACAATCAATTGGATTGTTTTTGCTTACTGCTTGCACCAACTTGAGAGATAAGGGTTTATACTCGCATCTCACTCGACTTATAAGGGTCAGCCCTTGCAAAACTTTGTAGTGATTATCGGGTAGCTTCGAGCCAACATCAGAGTTTTAGGGATAGCCCTCGCACACTATTCAAGTAAACAGAGTTAGTCTCGCACCCAATAAAGATGAAGGTAAGTCTGTGCACACTATTTGACTGTTAAGAGTTAGTCTCTCTCCGACCCAAGATGTTACACACTTTTCGACCGATTTAGGTTAGTCTCACACCCATCCGAGATATAAGGGATAGCCTCGCACCCTTTGCACAATATATCTTGCAGGAATTTCAACTGTCGCTAGGGTTCGATATAAAGAACAATAACTCCACACCGGAATTTGTTTTCAGCAGATGCGAAATAGCTACATTATGTGATGTATGTCAAATTCTTGAATTTCAGAATTACTCCTTCACTGTCAGAAGTGATTTATGGTTTTAACATTCAGAACATATGTGTAACTAATTTATAATTAATAATTTAAAGTATTCATACTTTTTATTATACCACCGTTTCGAAGGAGAGGGGGTACATGTATACTGTTTTACCCTTGTATGTCTGTCTATGTGTATGTCTGTCTGTTCGTTACAGATTTTGGTCACAGTTTTCTCAGCAACTGCTCATCGCAAATGCTTGAAATTTTAGCACACTCTTTATTTATGCATGCCACATGATAGGATTTTTTTTGTAGGAATTCGATGTCAATATTAACTTCCTGTTTATCCCTGTGTAACTAGACTCGTAAATATTCACATCAGAGCGGGAGTATTACTAGTGAGCATTGGCTCGCAGACTTCTCCTGTTCTTCTGTGTGCTTATAATTATAAAGATTGAGATAATAAATCATTGCGTTTAATTTTAGAAATATATATCATTAAAGAAGAAGGACAACAATACAAACACAAAGAAATAACATTATATTTTCTACGTATCAACTGTCAAATCAATAATCGTGAATTGTATTGTAACGAAACCGAGGGTATAGGGTATTAACTAAATCAGTTAATCGTGGGCCGCTGTTAGTTTCTGGTAACTGGTCAAGGTTGAAATGGTTGTCCACAAAATTTATATAAAATCGGAATAACAACCAATTTTTCGTCCACTAAATAATTGGCGAAATGACCAATTTTAGTTCACTATAATATCTGCATTAGAACCGTGATGAATAACACGTTGTACAGTTTATGGTATTTATTAAGACGATCAAATGGTTCAGTTATAAGCACAATAATAAACTTGGTTGGTACAACGTTATTTGGTTAATACAAAGATGACGAACCAATGATCAATCCAGGACATTTCTACTCTAAATGACTCTTCACTAATGATTTCGTATACATAGACTTCGTACTGTTTGTGCATACCACTGTCTTACACCCGAAGTATACGGAGTCGCTACACACTGCAGACTGACTTCTAAACACAAAACAGATGTCTTTTATAGACAAAAGTTGTTATGATGACGTAGAAACGTCAGAAACCAATAACGTCACAATTAATATCTGATTTGTAAGTTAGCGGGTTTTAACCACTAAAATTACTAAATAACGTTGTACCTATATAGAACATATACAATATAACGCTTTGTCATTACAATACATAAATCAAATTGATCAAGTTCAAATAAATCAATTATTGTTCAATTCTTTCGTTCATTGTTCATTGACAAATATTTTAGTAGTTTATACACATCGGGTTCAGGGTCCGTTTATTCGAAACTTGTCAACAACAGTTAATCCGAATTTCACAGGTAAACTTATCGGAACGTAACAGTATATAATTCTGAATTTAGATAGAGAAAGGGAGGGAAACTTTCAATCATCTACTTTAGACTTAACTTCTTCGGAAAAGAATCCTACCAAAAAAATCAATTGTCTTAAAATACAATCTAAAGTATCATTTACCGTTCACGGTAGCTCAGTCGGTAGAGCGCTCGCTCCGTGATCGGGAGGTCGTGAGTTCGAATCTCGGCTGCGACTGACCTAAGTCGATAAAAAATGGGTAGCAACTGTTCCATCGCCATGCGCTCGGCACTTTTAAGTGAAAGTTGCGGGTCCTTCGGATGAGACCTTAAAAACCGAGGCCCCGTGTCACGGCAGGCGTTGGCACGATAAAGATCCCTCACTGCTCAATGGCCCTAAGTGCCGAGTAAAGGTCAAAATTTGAAGCCCTTCACCGGTATATGGTGACGTCTCTATATGAGTGAAAAATTCTCGAATGGGACGTAAAACAACATACAATCAATCAATCAATCTAAAGTATCATTCCAGTGATGGTGCGGCATGCTGTGGAGTGTTTCTTGCTGTATATAATGCAATAGAGCAATTACATCAGGACAATGAAGTCGACATGTTTACCATTGTTCAGCAACTTCAGTATCGAAGACCAGAAATGATATCTGTTATGGTAACTATTTCTGAAAAGCAGGGGCTGTATTACATTATACTTAGTTTGTTTCTGGGATTATCAGCACCAGATTGCTGATATTTTAAAAAAGAATAGTTTAAAAGCAGCTGAGTTTTAAAAACTCTAATACGCGGAAATTGTATAAAGACAGGAAAAAGTGAAACTTTTTAAATAATTTCATTTATTCAGCTTTCCGTAAGGGTGAAAATAAGCATATTTTTTGGAGTTTTTCCTCTATAATTGTAGGTATTGAATTTACTTTAAAGACTTAAAGATTTACTTTAAATGTATTTGAAAACAATCTTCCCTGATTCAGCGAAAAAACAAAAATCTTACCTGATTCAGCAATAAAAAAATGTGTTTCAAACGGAAGAATTAAATCGATTATCTAATTGAAATGATCCTTGATTATACATGTAGATAATCGATCATAATATTGATATTAGTTGAAAGCAAATTGTTCCTTCGATTTTAGATTTATTCTTCTTTATATTTATGTAGATAATCGATTATAATATTGATATTAGTTGAAAGCAAATTGTTCCTTCGATTTTAAATTTATTCTTCTTTATATTTATTCTTCTTTAAATTTAGTGGAATCCTACATAATCTGATAAATGAATCCAATGATAAAAAATATATCAAAAATGTATTCTAAAAATCACTCCAGAATTTTTAGCCGATTTATTCTCCATTCAAAAATGAACAAATTTAATATTTGAAATGGATCGATCATTAATCGATTATAGTGCATCCAATTATTCCCATAATCGATTATGAAAAAAATCGATTTCTTATCACTACTTATATTAAATAATAGTATTATACGAGTTTTTTTTTTTTTTTTTTGGGGGGGGGTGGGGGGGGTGGGGGGGATCTATTAAAGATTAAAGGATCACCGGGAAATCCACAAAAATTAATATAATGATTCCACAGTCAGTCTATGTTAGGATTTTCGGAGCATTTTGTAAAAATAAAGTTGTTTTTGATTTTTTTTCAGGCCGAATATCAGTTCTGCTTCAAAGCTGTATGTGAATACCTGGAATCAGACAACGTTTATGCAAACACCTAAAATATGACTTAACACAGCTGCAAAAATGAAACTCTAACTCTACATTCAAATTTTCTTCTATGATGCACAAATACAAACATTTATATAATGTTTTTGTTTCTTTAATTTTTGATTGTGTGTTGTTTTGTTTTGTTCTTCTTTTTCAAAAAGAATCGTTATTTTCATGAGAAATGATGATTTACTAACATTTTCATCTTTAAATATTTTTTGTTACAGAATATTACTTATGAAATCGACATTCAGTTTTATATAAATATGTAACTGCAATTTCAGCATAAAATTAGAAAGAAAAAAAAACATCAAATTTCTCCAACATGATTATATATTTTTAAATCAATCACATGCTTTAAGATTTAAAAACGAGACTAAATTTGGGTTTCTTAAAATGCTTTCTTTGCCGTGCCATAGGGCTTATAATGGGAACAACATTGCAGAAAAAACTTCACCACGTAAGCGGGTTATATTTTCTACAATGATTGCTAAAGCACGTTACTTAATTTGTTTTAACACACCATTTAATTTTTGAGACTATATCTTTAAAAAAATAATTATTCAATACATAAGGTAATCCGATCCTCAGGTTCTGAAAATCAGCTTTTAAGTAATTGAAAATGCTCACAAAAATTTCTTTGATTTCACATAGTAACGTTTTGTTTGTTTGTTATTGTTTAACGTCCCTCTCGAGAATTTTTCACTCATATGGAGACGCCACCACTTGCCGGTGGAGAGCTACAAATTTTGACCTATACTCGGCACTCAAGGCCATTGAGCAGTGAAGGATCTTTTTTGTGCCAGCACCTTATCCGACACGGGACCTCGGTTTATATGGTCTTATCCGAAAGACCGGCACATAGTACCGTGAATTTACCCATGGAATTTCTTCAAAGTTCGTCATTATCAATAGTTAATCACATTATATTATAATACGGAAAATTATCAAATCTCAAATATATTTTCAGGAAATGCGAATAAAAACACCAGCTATGCATTTTCTATTTGAAAAGTGAAAAGTGATCAACAAATATACTTTAGGAGAGTATCCGTGTATTTGGAGAAAATTGTTTTTTATGCCTATACAGTATTTTATTTCTTCTTTTTACTTCAATTGTCATATAAAACATAGTGTAAAAAGCTTTTGCTTTCATTGCTAGACATCACATATCACATCTTATTTCATATCATGCTAAGAAGCAGTAGTATCTAATGCCAAACTAAAGGAAATTCGATTTCTCTAAAAATAAATTCATTTCTTTCTTTTATTGAGTACAAATGTCAGCTTTTTACAAGACCGTTTCTAAGACTTCAAAGAAAATTGAATCCTATTAAGATGCATAAAATGAAAATTGTCGCACGAAAAGATCTCAATTTCAAGCTTCATTTTAAGACTTTTTAAATAAAATAATAAACTTAAGAGTTATCCTTCCTGGCTGAGGATCGGATATACATAATTGTGATCGATATTTTACATAAACATTTTTTTCTTCATTTTTTACATTATGGACTTGTCAATATCAATTAATACTCTATTCATAGGAAAAAAATATGAAATATTTATCGGCCATATCCTTACATCCTTAAGCACAAATATCCTTTTCGATTTGAAATATTTTGTGATAAGTTACAAAAGCAATTATTCAAATAAAGATTTTAAAATTGATTGTATGTTGTTTTACGTCCCGTTAGAGAATTGAAGATTTGAGATGTTACAACCAGACGTATCATTGAGTCAAATGCTGACTGACGTTTTTCATACTAATTGTTAGGCCATTATTTACACACTGAATTGTCGACGGATTTTTCCGTTATTTCCCGATCATCGCAGCTAGGTTAAGGACGCCCATGAAATATACGCCTTTATATACTCAGGGAAAATGAATTTTAGTATTTTTTTAACAGCAGTAGTTTTGATAAATGTGAATTGTGGTGATTGCATTTGTATATATCGGGTCTCTGCTGAGTTCGGCCAAAGTGACATCGCTTACATCAGCTGTTTGTCACGTGACAGGTTTAAAATTGGACCATATATGTACTACTACAAAGATCGTAAAAGTTCAACGATATACGGGCATTCTTCCGCTATAAAATTTATTTTGTTTTCTTTGAGACAAATTCCTTAACCCGAAAAGTGCTGGGAGCAACTTCCTCATGCTTGAGAATTGTTTAAAATTTAGCCGTCTTTCTATAAACTCCAGACAAAAATGTAATACGCATTGGAATAATGTTAGATTACGGAATGAAGAAACAATGTACAACCAGCTCCAAGCACTTTTCAGAATAGTAGGAATAATGGCTACACGTGTTTAAAAATTCAGAATTTATAGTAAAACGGATATCGTTGAACTTTTGATATTTTCGAGGGGCTGGACCCCTCATTCTAGCACGTTACTGTACAAAAGTGCTCCCTACGGCTATATATAAAGTCTACACATTATCAATTTAGTTTGACAATAAAATGTGGATTAATATATTTCAGAATATGTCTCTCTTTTTGTCTGACTACGCATGTTTCGTATTTATTTTTATTTTTACAAGCCACGATAAAAGTTTGATCCACGCCTCAAATACAGGGAAACTGCGTGTGTGTAAAACTAAGAAATGACGTCATCTCAGTAAGTACAGCGAGATCAAGCTGGCTTTCATTCTGCATATGCTAAGTGCTATTATGGCAAGATAAGTTGCACATCCATTTATATTTATAACATTTATGAGAAACGAAAGTATTTCGTGTGTTTTAAAAAGAACATTATAGTATTTATTCATCGAGATTCATTTGTATTGTTTTAACGTGACGTCATAATTGCTCTCCCAAACCTCTGCATAGGCTGACGTAGATATGGGAGTCCTTAACCTAGCTGCGATGACAAGGAGCACACGGCGGGTGTGACCGGTCGGCAGGGGATGCTAACTCCTCAATGGCACCTGATCCCACCTCTGATGTATGGAGGTCCGTGTTTGCTCTGCTCCTATTTTGTATTGTATAATGGACTTTTGAGCTTGAATACTGTTCGTTATCTCCATATATTTCACGTATAATCCATACATCTCATCCTCAAGGGTTAAATGCGCCAGTCCTTAATATTGAGTTTGCCTTATACATGCATGTAGCTAAAATATTGAACAAGAAATGTTGAAATCAATGAGTTAGATTTACTGTTGTTAAGCATAGGGAGAATACTCCTCAAATAATGGACCCCAAATGTCCTACATTTTAAAATCATTCTTTGACTCGATAATAGTCCTTTTTTTAAATAAAACGCCGATCCCTTAACAATCTCTATCTAATTATACTCGATTCCTTCTCACAAGTTTTACGGAGTTATCGCTCTTTGCCACTCGGAGACGTTGTCGTCGGCTGCCGTTACGGTGCTGACAGTGTGAAAAGAATAACACTGTCCTACACAACTTACAAAAAACGCACATGTAAACCGGCCGGGAAAACCTATATTTCATGTTTTATCGATTGAAATATCAAAATAAAATATTTTATTTTATTAAAGCCTGTCCAGAAATTCTATACACTTGTCGTGTGATTTGTCCAACATCTTTTTATATTTTACTCTATGCACTGCTTTTATACAACAGTGTTACACTGTACACTAAAAAAAAAATAATAAATGAGCCGTCCCATGCGAAAAGGGCCCTTATGTATTTTGACGTCATAATGAGAAATACGCCGGTAAAGATAACGTCATAAAATGCAAGTTGCGTATGTTATATATTTTTTCCAACATTTTTACCTGAGCTCTGTCAACTTATTTTCATTGTTGTTTATATCATCTAGAGCCAATAAAATATCAGGGGGAAAAAAAAAATATGAATTTTTAGAGCTAAGTTCCATATAAATGGACATTTCCAATATTGAATATTAAATTTTGCTGATATAATTAGGTGCTAGTTTTTTTTTTTTATCCGATTGTTCATACATTGAAAGCTATCGTACATGCACATAATTGATATATACCTCTACTTGTACACATCCTTTTTAACACAAATGCATATTAACCAAAGTAAAATACTTTACAATAAATGAAAAGAAAAATCTTACACCGTTCCCAACATATAGGTTTATATATGCGATTAAGATTTTGTTCAGCTCTACATGTAGCAAATGACGAAGTCTGTAAAGATTGATTCTTCGTAAAGCATAAATTAAATGAAGAAAACATCTGGGGGGTTTTTTCGAAACAATATTTTCGTTGTGTTTATAAACGCGATAAATGACGATTTGCGTTCGTCACGGTCATTTACTGGTCAATGTGTTTGTTGTCTCATTCAAGTATAGAACCGTCGGTTTACTGTTTACAGAGACAGCCTAGCTTCTGGTTGAACGAGACTAATGTGTTTCCTAAGATATAAATTATTATATTTCTTGAAATTTGAGAATAAAATCTCGTATAATTTGTTAAAGTCTTGGGCCAGCCGTTAAAAAAAATGAGAAAAAAGTAAATGCTGCAACGAAAAAAAATGGACCAGGATTTTTTAAAAATGCATTAATATGGGAAGATTTGACTTTGCTACAAAAAATGGGGGTGGGGTTGTTAGAGATGGGTGCAATTAGCCATTCAGTGCATGAACATCTTCATTCTATATCAATTAATTACCATTGAAAAATTATGTATGGAACCCCCCCCCCCCCCCCAATACAACATGCCTTTATTTAATTCCTAGTAAATAATGCTTTATTATGTATAAAACCCCCAAATTACGGGGAAATTAAATCTGAAAGATTGAATACAGATTTATTTCCCTGTAATATTGCATCTGATTATTATTTTAATTTCTTAGTACAAAGACGAAGTGTTTGTCTGCATTAAAGTTTATGAAAATAAATACCGGGTCATTTTTGTGTAGGAAATGTTGCAATAAGTTCAGTTTAATCTTTGAATTGTTTAAAAATGGAAAGAATGACTGCTTATTTTATAAATGAATCATATTTGGCCATTTCTTTAGGCATGTATGTAACAACGTTTTACAGGGAAAAAAAAGGGGGGGGGCTGAAA